GCCATTCTGACAGGTGTAAGATGGTATCTTAAAGTTGTCTTGATTTGCATTTCCCTGATTGCTAAGGAAGTTGAGCATGACCTTAAGTGTCCTTTAGCCATTTGAACTTCTTCTGTTGAGAATTCTCTGTTCAGCTCAGTGCCCCATTTTATAATTGGGTTGATTAGCCTTTTATGGTCTAGTTTCTTGAGTTCTTTATATATTTTGGAGATCAGACCTTTGTCAGTTGAGGGGTTGGTGAAGATCTTCTCCCAGTCAGTGGGTTGCCTATTTGTTTTAGTGACAGTGTCCTTTGCTTTACAGAAGCTTCTCAGTCTCAGGAGGTCCCATTTATTCAATGAGGCCCTTAGTGTCTATGCTGCTGGGGTTATATGTAGGAAGTGGTCTCCTGTGCCCACGTGTTGTAGAGTACTTCCCACTTTCTTTTCTATCAGGTTCAGTGTGTTCAGACTGATATTGAGGTCTTTAATCCATTTGGACTTGAGTTTTGTGCATGGTGATAGACATGCCCAGCTTTTATGTGAGTACTGAGGATCAAAACTTAGGTCCTCATACTTGTACAACAGACACTTCACCAACCTAGCCATGTCTCAGCCTTATTTCTTTATTTTTTTAAAACGAAAATGTTTTTTGCTCCTAGTTCCTTCCAATAGTTACTCTATTGTGTGGAAGGAGAGCATCAAGATAAGGGAGGCTATGACAGAAAAGAGGCTCACCTCCTGGCAGCCCGGAGGCAGAGATAAATAAGGGATGTGAGCCGGTCTCCTTGCTCCAAATAGGCCCATCTACTGCTTTGCATCTCCTGACAGTATGACATCCCTAGGTAAAATTTCTGATACATACAAGGTAACATGCTAGGCTTCATGCTAAGTGCATCATCTCAATCCCTCATCTCCTACTCTGAGGTCTATATTTGCTTATAGTAACACAAATCCTCTCCCTACCATCCTTTTACACTTCTTTATATGAATAAAGTCTTTGCTATAGTTTTTAGTTTTGGGCAGTGTGTAAACTGAACCCTGGGCCTTGCATATGCTAAGTAAGTACTTTACTGCCAAGTTACATGCCTAGGCCTTACATTTCTTTCTATCCATTATACTTTGTGTCTGATCTAATCCCCTTACACCTTTCTAGAAGCCTTATGGTACTATCTTTTTCTCCTCCTATTTAGTCAGCCTTCCCATTTTGTTGGGATGTGTAAACATGATCAAGTCTCTCCAGTCTTCAAAACAGTGTCTCTTGGCATCATAGCCTCTCTAGCTACTACTTATCTCCCTTCCCTTTCTTCTGGAAGTAACTGTATTCTCTTTTTATTTCCCTTTCTTTTGTTGTGCTGGGGATCATGGTGGGGCTATGTGTGGCTACCAAGGAGCTATATTCTCAGCCCTCTCCTTCCTCCTCCTTTCTTGTCTTTCTTTGGTTTTTGTACTTTTTCTTTGAGGCAGGGGCTCATGTAGCTCAGGTTGGCCTCAAAATTCCCATAGATGTAGCTGAGACAAAGTAGACCTTGAACCTCAGGTCCTCCTGCGTCCACCTCCCAAGTGCCTGACTGCTTGTTCTGTACATTCTAATCTGACCTCCAAACCTCAGTTTATAATAAGGTCATAATTGGCCACCAAGTCAATAAATCCAATGGATATGTTTAGTTCTCATCCTCCTTGACCTGTGAAGCAATATGTGACACTCAAGATTGTTTCTTCCTTAAACCCCTTTTATACACAGGCTTCCCAGGCCTGTGTCTTCCTACCACTCCAGCCACTCCTGTTCAGCTTCTCTTTTTCTACTTGGCTGTTCAATCCTAGCCTTTCTCTTATGTGACTCCTCTTCCAGACCCCCAGTTTACCCATGACTTCAAACACTTCATGTAGGGCATTTGCTCACCTTTTTATCTCTGGGTCTTCCTTTTTGGTCCAGATTTAATAATTGTCATGTAAATATTTACTATAATTCTTACTAATCTATCCTTTGGGTTTTTTTTCTGAGACAGGGTTTCTCTGTAGCTTTGGAGCCTGTCCTGGAACTAGCTCTTGTGGACCAGGCTGGTCTCAAACTCACAGAGATCTGCCTGCCTCTGCCTCCCGAGTGCGGGGATTAAAGGCATGTGCCACCACCGCCTGTCCTAATCTATCCATTGTATTCACTAAGATTTTTTTTCTGATATTTAGTGAGACATGTTCTTATTATACTATCTAAACTGGCTTCAGATTTGAAACCTCCTTCCAAGTGCTGGGATTACAGATATGCACCACCATCCCAGCCTTTTATTATATTCTTTATTTCAGCCTGTTAAGAAATTGGAGGAATTTTTCTTCTGAGAAAGGGGGATGTAACTCCAAAGTCCAATTTTATGTTTCAGTAACAAAATAAGATTTTCTGTTAGGCAGCCGGGCCGTGGTGGCGCATGCCTTTAATCCCAGCACTTGGGAGGAAGAGGTAGGCGGATCTCTGTGAGTTCGAGGCCAGCCTGGTCTACAAGAGCTAGTTCTAAGACAGGCTCCAAAGCAAAAGAGAAACCCTGTCTTGAACCCCCCCCCCAAAAAAAAAGATTTTCTGTTAGGCATAATAATGTAATCCCAGTTGATGGAGGAGGGTCATATGTCTATTGGTTAATAATGAAACTGCCTTGGCCCTTTTGATAGGACAGCAGTTTAGATAGGCGGAGTAGACAGAACAGTGTTGTGATAGGAGCGGCGGGGCTGCGTCCCCGGCACCCGGCCGCCCGCCCGCATGGCTAGCTCATGTCCAGAAATAATTACACGGAAACTGTATTCTTTCAAACACTGCCTGGCCCATAAGTTCCAGTTTCTTATTGGTTAGCTCTCACATATTGTTCTAACCCATTTCTAATATTCTGTGTAGCCCACGAGCTGGCTTACCAGGGAGGATCTTAACCTGCGTCTGTCTGGAGCGGGAGAATCATGGCGACTCCTCGACTAAGCTTCTTTTTCCCAGAATTCTCTTCTGTTTACCCCGCCTACCTAAGGGTTGGCCTATCAAATGGGCCTAGGCAGTTTCTTTATTAATAAGAAATCACTCCCACATCAGAACAGAATGCTGGGAGAAAGAAGCCGAGTTAGGCAATTGCCATGATTCTCCGACCCCACATGAATGTAGGCTAGAATCCTTCCTGGTAAGACACCATCTCGTGGTACTACACAGATTATTAAAAATGGGTTAATCGAGATGTAAAAATTAGCCAATAAGAGGCTGGAAATAATGGTCCAGGCAGTGTTTAAAAGAATACAATTTGTGAGCTAGGCGGTGGTGGCGTACGCCTTTAATCCCAGCACTTGGGAGGCAGAGGCAGGCAGACCTCTGTGAGTTCGAAACCAGCCTGGTCTACAAGAGCTAGTTCCAGCACAGGAACCAAAAGCTATGGAGAAACCCTGTCTCAAAAAATT